ATCTCTCTCTCAATCTATACACACAGCGGGCGCCAGAAGTGTCACATCACTGTCCAAACGCGGCCATCATTCTGGTGGGCACTGACGAGCATCTGAAGCCCAGTATCATAAACCTGACCTCACAGGCGGTCACCTACTCGGAGGGAATGGCGGCCGCCCGAGGGATGGGTGCCTACATATACGTAGAGTGTTCGGCAGTGACCGGCGATGGCGTTAAGGAGGTGTTCGATGCGGCCGTCTGTGCCGTACTTTGGCCAAAGTCAACGCCCCGGCAGTCAAAGCGTACGTGCATTCTGTCATAAACGGCGATATATAAGATTTTGTATAATGTTTATATATTTTATGCATACAGTAAGTGTATAACAGTTTGAATAACAATTAGATATCTGTTATAAATTATAACTTATAATGCAGTTTGTAATGAAATATTGCTATTTGTTAGTAGCATTTAATTTGAATACAATATTTAGTAATATAATGATAGAATTATTATATCTAGATGTTGTTTTTTGTGATTACATTTAAATTGCTTGCATTAATGATGATTTGCATATTTTGTAAGTAATATTATTTTTAGACGTTTTTTAATATGATATTTAAAAATTAATTGAATTATGTAAAGCTATTTAAATATTAAAATTAATATTAGGATTAATATTTAAATATAGATTAAAATTTATTGTCAACTTTTATTTAAACATTATTTTTATTTCATATGCTGTAGATAATAATATAATTATAAAGCCTAACAATCCTATAAATCACATTGCTCATATCTGAATTGTGGCTAAAAACTATTAATATAATAACTAATATAGAAAATCACTACAGTATTACAACACATTGAATAATGCACAACTGGTAACTCTACTTAAATATAACAATTAATATTGCATTAATATTGCAAACATAATAATAAACTGAATTAATCGGTAGACCAACGCATTTCGCGCTCCCATAGAGTGTCGAGTCCAATGCCGGACCACTCGTCGCGCACCCGGCGGTCAAAATCGTCGCTTTGTTGGCGACTAAACATCGATCTCCAGCCGCCGGCGCCACCGGAGACCACGTGTGGGAACGGACTGTCGGCGAACTGAGGCTTCATTGCACCGAACGAACAAACTTTCAACAGACGGTCCATAAGTGTCTCGTCGACCGCTGAATCGGCGTCCGGACATCTCTCAGCCAATCGGCGCTCGTAATCGGGACCCAAAAACGTGGCCACCCGTCTGATGGCACCGGCCGGATCCGCCAGCATACGCTCATAAACCAGCATGGTGCAGTCGGCCCGATGCCGGCTAAGCCATAAGTGCTTTATACTCTTAAAGTGCTTGATCTTACCGGACAACCAATCGGTAACAAATTGTCCAAAATCCAAGTCACTGCTATTGATGGCGCTTACCATCCGATAAAACGATACGCACGTGTCTTTTGGATTACGGATTACCAGTAGATACCGGACACCCGGTGCCGGTTTGGACAGCACTTCCCGGCAATGGGTGTACAGGAAAGTAACGCCGGCGCTGATCACGCAGTTGGCAGGTGTGCGCGCTTGGGGGCCGTTTTCTTCCAAGATGTATTGCTCCATATCAGCCGCATTAATGTCGGTCACTGGACGGCCGTTGGCCACACACATCACCAGGTATTGGGTCCAGAAAGTGCCCGATCGAGGGATGCTTAGTAGTATGCGATCGCCCGCTACAGGCTTGTAGTCCAGGGCGTACTCCACGCCTTCCACAGGCCATCGTATGGGGAATTGCTGTCCGCGAATTGTTTGCTCAAAACTTTCTGTCATAGTTGTCGATACCGTTTGAATATTGCTTATACTGTATATACTATTAATTTATATACTGCACAAAGTACTGTTTTGTGTATAATATAATTTATCAATTATATTTAGTTATTTGCTTAAAAGTATTATTCAACTAATAATTGCTGATTCAAGTTCAGTTTTTGGGTAGTCATTCTAAATTTCTAATGTCATCATTGGTTACAGCGATATAGCATTTGTGAATTGAGGACAAATAGAGGACACATATTTTAGTCTAGACTTGCAACTTTTCATAATTTTAAATGTAATTTGTGTAAATATAAATGTAATTTATCAAGTAGTATATTAGGTTGCTTAAATGTTTTCTATTTAATTAATAGTAGCTTATTTAAATTTAGTTTTTATATGCTAATCCTGAATTTCTAATGTCATCTTGTTCACAGTAATTTTGAGTTTTTGTGAATTGGGCTATGTAAAATTATATTCTTAAATTATTATATTATGCATTTTTAAATTTCATTTGAGTGAACTGAAAATACAAGTTATTAATAAAATTTATAATTAAGTACTGTACATTGTTTGATCACATTGTTCAATAATTAGAGTCCGTATGTAAAGGGAGAGATAAAGATGTCAAAAATATATTTATTGATTTAATTCTTACAAAATTTTAGCCAAAAAATAAAATTACCATTGTAAAAACGTTACATGACTTTAAACATGAGTCGACAATTTATACGAGTGATTGTCATATTTATCTGGATAAATATGTGCCGGATCTGAGGCAGACTGTAGTGTTTGACAAACAATAGTCAGGTTAAAAGACATAATAAAATTGAAATAATATTGCAAATAATGTCAGATAAAACATCGCTTAAAGTGTTATTCGTACCGATGTTAGCCGAGGGTCACGTAAATCCCTGTATCGGTATTGCGTCGCAATTGATAGCCGACGGACACCGCGCGGTGTTTACGGCGAACGACGTTTGGCGGCCAAAACTGGCCGCTTATGGCATCGAAACGGTAGAGTTGGCCAAAAGTAACGCAACCAATGATGGGGCCATCGATACGGCCCTTCAGGCGCAACGCATGATGGCTTTGGGTAAGATTGGCGGCGCGTCGCCCATAGAGAAGGCCCCACTTCGGGCAAACGCAGCCGAGTATTGGAGAAAACACGCCCAGCATTTGGACACACAGTTGGCCGCTCTGTTGCCCGCCATTCGGCCCGACGTGATAGTTGTGGATCAGTTCGCGACACTACCGGCGGTGTTGTTGTCTGGCATACCGTGTGTGTGGTTGTGGAGCGCCGGCCCTCTCGTGATGCTCGACGATGAGAGGACACCGCCCGGCGAATCAGGTTTGTTAACCCACACACACACCGATAGTTTTGCTGACCCCTCCCCTCTCAATCACACCCAGCCTTCGGTAACGCCCGTCAGTCTTGAGTGTAAACACATTTTATTTGTGCGTTTGATAAAAAACACCGCAATTTATTAATTATAGTTTAAAATTATTTTTTATGATAAAGCAAACAATTAATTCAAATTATATATTAGCCATCATTATCGGCAACTATTCACCATTAATGGAGCAAATTTTTATATACTTCCCGTAAGAAATGGCTGTTCTGTGAGGAAATAAAGTTAGTGTTGTCTATTTCGACCACTACTTTTGTTTTGCAATTTTTATTACTGAACCATGATTGCATAGAATGGCATACTTAGTAATTTGGTATAGGAGTAACTGGAGTATAGTATGGGTATGACAGAACTTATTACCCAAAGTCAATTAACTTTTTTCTAATAATAGAAAAATTTTGTTGAATAAATAGGCCACAAATTGTTTTATTTTGGGTATATGTCAAATAAACGGCTCGGATCACCTTCCTTATTACTAATAAATTGTTATACAGTAACTAATCATCATTCAGTAGCCCATGCGTAACAACATTCCCATATATAAAAATTTTGGATCAAATCTAGCACGCTGATTTGCCGCCATTTTGTTTACTTCTCGGGGTTGAACTGTTCGGGTCTGGTCTGTGAGGTAATAATCATCCATAAATTTAGCACTAATTCAATAAAGTTAACATCCATTAGTCTCATACCATCAATAGAATTTGTTTCATAGACTTAACATTGCCCATAGGATTATAATTGCCAAAGGATTAGCATTACACATAAACTTAACATTCAGAACCATCCTATAAACCACACTAATCAAAGCTAAATTGGGTTAAAACAACTCACACACAGCGATCCTATAAACCACATTATTCATATCAAAATAGTGGTTAAAAATTATTATGAGTTAAATTTATAGGACTGTCCGCTACGGGAGACCCGAGACTGTGGCACGAGTTTCGCCAATTGATAAGAGACGTAACGATGGAGAAGTGGCGGGCGTTCAACGACTGGGTGGTCGGCCGGGGCTGCGAACCACTGCCAGAACACTGCTTTCTAAAGGCATCGCATTATCTTCATATATACGGCTACCCCTTGGAGTTGGACTATCAGGACGTGCGGCCGTTGGGCCGTAATTATGTCCGCTTTGATAATTTTAAGCGCAACGAACGGCACCTGACATTCGCAGTGCCGCCATCGTTGGCCGCAAAGCCCGGAGCGTTGGTCTACTTCTCGCTCGGCTCTCTCTCTTTCCGGTCGACGTGCAAAACATGCGCCGAT